ATTGAATGCCGTTATAGCTGTGCCCGTGTGTTAGTATACTATTGAATGCCGCTATAGCTGTGCCCGTGTGTTAATATACTATTGAATGCCGTTATAGCTGTGCCCGTGTGTTAGTATACTATTGAATGCCGCTATAGCTGTGCCCGTGTGTTTATGTCCTATTGAATGCCGTTATAACTATGGCCGTGTGTTGGTGTACTATTGAAAACCGCGTTAGCTGTGGCAGAGTTATAGTGTATAATTAATAAATATATAGTTTTGGCCGTGTGTTAATGTTTTATTGAGTATCGATATAATTGTTGCCGTGTATTAGTGTACTTTTGAGTGCCGCTATAGATGTGGCCGTGTGTTTAAGCCTCATGGACAATTAGTGTAATGTGCTCGCGCCACAAATGTGTGCCAATTGCCGCAATTGAATATTTATATAATTATTTGCAAATATTTATTTATAAATTATATATTAATAATTATAATTAATCGTGATTATTATTAGAAATAAAAATGTCGACAAATAATGACTTGGAGTGGCTACTAAATGATGGAAATAATAGCACATTTGATGAAAATGATAGTGAAATTGTTTCTAATATTAGTGAAAATAGTAGTCACAATAGTTTGTCTGAATTGGAATTGGACTCAGACTCAGAGGCGGTGTATTACTCTGAAACTGATTCAGATGATGATAATATTAATATGGGAAAACATCATCTTAACCTTCATCATCACAATCAGTAACTACATCAGCGACAAAAACATTACAACACAATATCATTCGTTTCAAAAGTAAACCAAAAGTCAATTCATCTTATTATTTAAATGTCTTATCAACATTTAGACATTTTCTTACAGATGATATGTTGAACTTAATTGTCAATTATACTAATAACAAAATTAACATCAAAATCAGTGCCAAAACTAAAGCTCTGCAATCATACGAACACAAGACAGACAACAGGGAAATGTTGACGTAGATTGGTTTATCATTGCTGATTGGTGTTAATTTTTCTGCACATGAAAATGCCAGTGATTTATGGAACACTAATGGCAAAAATCGTGATATATTCAAAGCTATAATGCCTTTGAGACGATTTCAATTTCTCACAGAAAATGTGTGTTTTGATCACCAAAACTCAAAAGATGCAAGAAAAGCCGCCGGGGATAAACTAGCGTTATTTAGTGAAATTTTTGATAAATTTCGCAAAAATTGTAAAAATAATTATGAATTATCAGAATTTGTGACAATTGATGAAATGCTGCAAGCATTAAGAGGCCGATGCTTTTTCAAGCAATACATGCCGAATAAACTTGGCTAAATATTTGCTGAAATTTTTTATGATGTGTGATGCAAACACCGCCTATTGTTGGGACGCAATATTTTATACCGGAATAGTTGAAGGCATTAAAGCAACAAATCTCGGGTCAAATATTGTTCTTGATATGACTAAACCTTTGAGAAGCTCGAATAAAAACATTAGATGTGATAATTGGTTCACGAGCTTTCCCTTAGCTCAACAACTACTTATTCACAATTTGACAATTATTGGGACTTTAAAGAAGAAAAAAAAAGATACCAAAGAAATTAATCGTCAAAAAGAAACGAACGGTAATTTGTTTTGTATATTTTAAAAATTATCAATAAGAAAATACTCGTTATATTGAATAATTTTAAGCAATAATTAATTTGTTTATTGTATTGACAATCAGGCAACCATAATGAAATGTGTGTACAATACATCTAAATAATTAATTAAAAATTTTTTTAAAAAAATCACAACTTATCGCCCATTGATAACAGTGTGCTTGCGCCGCAAATTTGTGCCAATGCCGCTAATAATTAACATATTTTCGTAATATTAACAGAAATGTTTCAAATTTTAAAATTAAACTAATGAGACTTAATTTTTTTTCACACAGCTATTGCATTCAGAGTTTGTTAGCAAACATGACATTACGTAATTGGCTTTTTATTCAAAGAAAAACAACACTGTATTAGCCCAGTGATTATTGAAGACTACAACAAAACAAAAAGAGGCATTGATACAATAGATCAATTGTGTTCAACATATTCATCTGGCAGGCGGACAAAGCGTTAGCTAACAGCGGAATTCTTTGCCCTTCTTGATATAATGGCAACAAATAGTTATATCATATTCAGACACTATAATATAAATTGTACTCCAAAACCAATTGAATCACATACGCGGCGGGTAGAATATATTTGACCTGGAATTTGGAATAATTTTTCAAGTGATTCATCTGAATTTGAAATATATGGCAAAAACAAAATTATTTTAATTACAAATAGTCATGAAAACGGACTTTTGTCACGATAAACTTTAAATTCGTCGCTGTTTCTTTAAATATTTTAATGAAATGTTAAATAAATATCAAAACTGTTTAAATAATGTGTGATCAAGAAATTATATTTTTAAGTTCCTTATCGCTCACAAAATTATAGACATCTGTTGGAATATTTGTGAACAATATTTACATTAAAATGTATTGAAAGCAATCCACTCATCAAACACTTTTGCCTTTAATACATTTCAGTGTAAATTTTGTTCACAACTATCCCATCAATTGTCTATTATTTTGTAAGCGATGAGTAACTTAACAATATAAAAGCTAAACTCAAAACATATAAAAATTTATTTCATGTTATTTTAAATTAAATTTGTGTTTTCATTAACTCATTAATAGGGCTAAACATAAGAGCAATTTTGGTTTTAAATTAAAACATTGATTTACAATAAAAAATCTCACATTTCATGTTATTATGAATCCAATTCATTTTTTAATGCTTTAAATGCATAATTATTGCTTTAATATCAAGATGCAATAAATTAAAGTCCATAAATATGTCCATATATCGCATATATCGGCTAAATTACCCAAAAATATCGATAAAAGAGTTTGCGCATCTGTGTAATAGCGGGCACTTTAAATTTATTGTGATAGAATGAAAGTACACTCTCTAAGAAATCTCATGATGTACTTCGTATGGTCAAATAACCTCGGGTCTGGCCACAGTGACTACTTTTATCGAGAATTTTAAACTTATTCAATATTATCATATGATATATGGATTCATTGTAGGATTTAACGTAGATCACGAATATCCAGTCAGAATTTTAATCGAAAGTATAGTTTCTTAAATATTAATTGATTATGTAATTTATATACACATTGTGTAACTCCCACTCCGGCAAATACTTTACCACCCCGTCAAAGACATTCCCGCCACGGCTAAAACATTTCCACCCTTGACTAAAACATTCCCCTCACGGCAGAGACATTCCCACTCCTGCGAAGACATTCCGACTTCCACCACAAGTCATTCTTATTCATTCCCTTCTTAATCCACGCAAACTTCATCTAAGAATGAAGCGGGATTTGAAATCTTAGGCTGGTGTCTACCAAACCCGAGATACCACATAACTGTTGCTACATGGCCACAGCAACCAACAGTTATGAGGCCATTGGGGCATGAACAGGAATAACCTGATACAACTTTCACATTATCCTCTTCATCTTTATTGATCGTACCACGATCAATAAGAATGTAGATGTAATGATTAATACGGTTTTAGTGTCGCAACTGTATGCGCCCTCTGATCAACATTGGATCTTCAATTGAAAGTTCATAAGTAGTATATGATAGAGATTTTAAATGTTTAGAAACCTCTATTATATACTTTCCGTCGGCTTTACTATGCTCAGCATAATAAGACCGAGCTACTTTCAGTTGGAATGATCCAAGTGTGATCGATCGGAGATCCTTTTCAGTAAAATAGAGAAACTCATCGAGCTCTAAACTCGCATCAATCGTTTCCCATTTTTCTGATAAGTGTGTCCGATTCAAGTTGAACGCAGCAGCCATATGAGCGAGTTTATTGTCCTCGTTCAACCGAGCAAGCATAGCTTGAGTCAAGGCAAATCCGTCCCTCATGTCAGACTCGTAAGTCGGATGAAAGACATTAACCCGTTAAGAAGGCGTAGAGGGGAGCAATAAATAATGTAATTGCTATTTAATAATGTTTGTTCAACAATTAAACTTGTGCGCGCGCTTTCAATTTCTAGTTTTTCAATTTAAAAAACTAAATTAATCTAATTTTATTGTTGCGGCAAGGCAAGCTAATTTGCATATTCAATTATTAGATGTTTACACACAAAATGAATTATTATATTAATTTTGTGTTCAAATCAATTACCATTTAATGAGTGAATCCATCCATTGATCCAAAGAATGGAGAATAAGATTGTTTTGAGACAATTGTTCAGTGATTTGAGCGACCAATTGATGCAAGACTTGCCTCTAATTGCGTTTATAAGGCAACAGCTTTACGACAAATCGGTGGACAACAGCAACACATCCGTCGGTGACTATTCCCAGAGATATCTGGATCTCATATCCAAAGCGTTGGTTTTGTTTGACATTCACTGCAATGCAAACCATTTGTCGACAACCGATGAGACCATTGCTATCACCGAAAGACTGGACTTCATATCGACTCGATTCGAGTTAAGACGACTCAACGCATCGCTGGACCAGAGTTTGGCCGAAATGAAGACAACGAACCGTCGCTTCGAAGAGGCGTTGAATGAATGCATTCGTGAGATGAAGAGAGAGGAGGCCTTCGAGTCAGTAATGGCCGACAAAATCCGTTTCTATTCAACCAAATTGAAAGAGTATTACCAAAACGTGAAGTCCAAAGAGACACTACTGGCCAGAGTTGGCTTCACCGACACTCTCACCGCTGAGGCCATCGGCCAATGCAAGCGAAGTAACCACGAGTTGCGGTCACGTCTTCACGACATCAACGCTAGACTTAATCAATACAAAGACTTTGAGCCAAACGAAGACCATTTGAGGCATAAAATCGATGAAATGAAGGCTCAGATCACAGAATATGACAACTATTTTGAGAAATAAATTGTCCGCAAAATTGTTTCGCTCTTCAATTGTATTCATTTTTATACTTCAGAAATAATTTCAAAGATATTTAATTTATAATTTAAAACTAATTTTTATTAAACACTAAATTATAATTCAATTAACGCCTAATCTGTGAACGAAATTCTCAATTCATAACCAAAACAATGGTCTCAAAGATTGGATCCAATGGTTTAGATAGAATAGGGCGGGCCATCGGGTTTCCTGAGCGCTTCCCTCTCGGCTGTGGTCAGGCCGGGAGTGGTCTCGTCGTGCGGCCACCACGAGGGCTCTCGCGTCTGGCGCACCGACCACTCGGGGAAAGTCAACGCGAACTCCTCCTCACTCATGTCCACCACCGGAAGCATTAAATTGAATTTCTCCAACTGATCCATAAGACAGACAATTCATTAAATCAAATCTATATATAATGTCCAAAAATACGGACCAATTTCTTGGCCTCGTTTTGGATTTGCTTCGAGTCTTTGACGAAGAGCTCGACCTCCTTCTCGTTCTCGGCCTCCTGTGCGGCGATTTGGTCAGAGATGTTGTCCTTCGGGTAAACGATGTTCAACGCCTTGTAAGAGCTCTCCAACTGATCCACAATGCCTTTGGCGGTGATATTCGTCCGATAGTACGACCAATCGATTTTGGGCGCCGTTTCCGGGTATGAGAGCATTCTGTCAGTGCGTTAAGACATTAGACAATCAATGGTAACGATAATCAGGACAATGGTTTGCGGCAGTGATAGTGACCTTCGGAGGTAACCGTCGGACTTGGCTTTGAACGCGTTATACATCTGTCGCTCAGATTTGGGCACAATTTGGGAAAACTTTGTCCAATCGATGGATGAATTGGCGATACGTTTGGCGGCCATCGCTTCCAATCGGTGACAATTCAACTGTAATTAACTTTAACTGCAATTAGATTTTGGTTATTCAAAATCAATACAAATGTGTGAATGAAATAAATGTCGGATTTTTTTCGCTATAATGCTATCAGTCATAGAAATTACGTTTACAGGGATTTTGTTGGCAAAGCATTGCATTGTATTGTGCTTTAAATGATAGGGATTTCAATGTGTTTGACATTATTTATGCACTGAATTATCATTACATTTATTCTGTAAAATGTCGTCCAAATTGTGTCCAAAAACAGATCAATTGATTTGATTTAAAGACTAACATATGTATGAAATGAGTGCCGAAAGTGTAATTTGCATACATTTTAGCCATAATTTATATTATAATTAATTATAACACAATTTGCATTCAAATGATGGCATTATGACCTTTCCGTAAACACCTCTATACTTATTACGGTTACATTTGATTCAAACAATTTAATTGACAAAATTTTAAATTAAATTAGTTTTAATTCTATCAACAATTATATCAGTTTTATTGCTATTAATAATAAAATTTTTATTTTAATTATAAAATAGTATAAAAATCACATTACAGTCAATAATAAATTAAATAATTTTTAAAACATTTTTATTTCACAGAATATTCTGTAATGATTTTGCAGAATAATTTGTATGAGAATTAATAAATTCACTTTCCATGAACTTGTTTAAAATGTTTACTAACATTACCACTATTAGAGCACCTGTACTGACATCCGGGCCAATGACAGGTATAGGGTTTGAGGTTATAATGAACATTCTTGTGATCGGTGAGCGACTTATGCAATGCAAATCGTTTGTCACATTCGGGCCAATCGCAGGCAAAGGGCTTTTCGCCGGTGTGCGTCAGTTTATGCAGCTTCACTTGATGCATGACTGCCATATAGTCACATCCGGGCCATTCGCATTGCACCTTGGTCCTCTTCTTCACGCCATTCCATTTGTATGGCTTAAAGTTATGCTCATTTATGCGATGTTTAATGCGTTGAAAGTCTGTTTGAAACATTTCATTACAGCCGTCGACCGTACACTTGAGTGTACATCGATTGCTGTGCACTAATGAATGCTTCTGCAGGTTATTCGCCGACGAGAACCGCTTCAGACACTCCGCCACCGGACAGACAAAGTTGCGTTCACTTGAATGCGTGACCATATGTGCGGCCAAATTAGACTTTTGTACGCATCTATACGTACAGCCATTCACTTCACACATATATGGCTTAACATTTTGGTGTATCATCAGGTGTTGTCTTAATTGAGTCATTGTGTGAAAGCCTTTGCGGCAGTTGTCGTCCGAACAGAAGTGCCGTTTGGGTGAGTGAAAGGCCGCCAAATGCTTTCGCAGACCGTTGTACTTATGGTAAGGCCGTTGACACTCAATGTGCGGACATATATATGAATCCGAAGCCATATCGTAGTGTTTTTTCGCCTTATATTTCTTCTTAACCTTTTGTACCGATATTTTATGGCTCTTCGAGTGAATCTTTAACTCAGTCTTTGTTCGGCATTTATAGTCGCAGTCATTGTAATCGCAATTATATTCTTTCCGTGATTTGAGGCCAGAATTAGGTTTGATTTTAGCCTTACATTCATTGTAATCACTGTTAAGACTATTCTTCAATGGTTTACTAATTTTACTTTTCTTTGACTCCAAACCTATAGTGTATTTGTGTTTCACGTCTTTCTCATCCGAGTCCTCGTTATCATCACTTAAATGGTCGACACTTTGATCCACAGCTTTTCGATGCCTTAATCGGTAAGCATTGGCTTCACTGTTGAGGTCGTGGTTTGTTTCAATCAATTCATTCACACAATTATCATATGGTTTGACGTGAAATGCATTCAATTCTTGTGTCAATTCATTGAACACTAGTTTCTCTTCGGAACCAATAATTGTCTCAATTTTATTATAAACTAAATTTAATTTAGTTTTCAATTTTATTAGACAACTGTTTGCTGACAACAACTCGTCGAAGAGTCGCTTGTTTTCGGCCATCAATTCATCCAAAATATCATTTATATTAATAATGACTGAATTTTGATTAATTAAAGCCATAATTCAGTTATGAATTAAAGCCGAAGCGAAGCACAGATTGAGTCAAACAATACTGTAATTCATAAACAAAACACAAATGCATTGAAAAGCAAGTGTTTGGCAGTCATTGGTTGGCAACCAATACTAGAGATCGACTCAAAACAACTTTAATGTTTAGATTTTACAGTTACAGTCGACTCTCGTTATAATAAACATTCATTATTTGCTAAATACAACATAATTAGTATTAAATGTCAACAAATATAACCGCAATCCGTGAATGGTTTTGACATAACAACGGATCCAATGGTATAGTCTTTGATTGCAACTCACGAGTGTGTGGTATGGGATGTGTTGTGTATGGCGTGTATGTGTTGTATGGGTTAACTGTGAGCTCAATTGAATCGCGAAAGTGTTGTAAACAAACGATTGAATGTTTGCATTGAATTGAATACAGGATTTATTAATAGATAATTTGCATTGAATTCAGTGTTTAATTCATTCATAAATCACTCGATAGTAGACAAGAGTTGTTGTGTTTATTTGTGGCGTTAATCGCAAAGCATTTGTTATAATAATAGCAAAGTATGTATCGATTGAGTGGTGAAAGTGATGACAATTTCTGTTATATTGAATAAACAAACGCTTATTTCAATCGATATCTCATTTATAATATTTTTCTCATGTGATTAACAGTTATAGGCGTCGACCGAAACACCACTCGAGCCCACAGATAAGTCTTCATTTATCTGATCCAATGGCTGCCAATAGCCCACAAATCACTGCCTCTGCTGTTGGCGTCGCCGACGACCACACGAAGGAGTCGTCCGACGAGACGATGAGTTCGCCGATCTCTTCGTCACAACTGTCACGACTCGTACCGCAGAGGAGATCCAATCAATGGATCAAATTGAATGTCGGCGGCACTCAATTCATGACAACTAGAATCACGTTATGCAGAGATCAACACTCATTCCTCTACAGACTCTGTCAAGAAGATCACGACCTCAATAGCGATAAAGTAAGCCATCATTTGATCCGTAGAGCCATTGATTGATTGTTTGATTGCTTGAAAGGACGACTCGGGAGCGTATCTAATAGATAGGGATCCGTCATATTTCGGGCCAATCCTTAATTACTTACGACACGGAAAGCTCATCATTGATAAGCATTTATCAGAAGAAGGTTTGATTGTCTTGAATATACTTACACTTCTCCACACATTTTATAAGCAATTGATTTAAGCAAACTATTTGCGAATTTTATAATTAATTGCTTTATTGAGTTAATATTAATAGTCTTATTACCGGTATTAACATAAGTAATACAAATCTATTAACAGTAATCTAAACGCAAAGTAAATGCATTTTTTCTCAATAAACAAAACTAATTGAGACATGTTTTTTACTTGTAATTTGAATGAACTGATAGTGTATTTAACATTGATTTCTATGAATCCGAAGGAGTGTTAGAAGAGGCGGAGTTTTATAACATAACGGAATTAATAAAGCTATTAAAGCAACGAATCGCCGATCGGAACAACAATAAGAAAGTGGACAACAGTCGCAAACATGTGTACCGAGTGTTGCAATGCCATGAAGACGAGGTGACACACGTGGTCTCCACACTGTCCGACGGCTGGAAGTTCGAGCAATTGATTAATATTGGCTCCAATTATAACTATGAAGAACAGGCGGAGTTCCTCTGCGTTGTGTCACGCGATTACCCCAACTCTTTGTCCACCGCTAGACTCGACTCCACCGACAGAGCAAAGGTTTGTCCAAACATTTTTTGTGATGATTTCGTTTGGCTATAACTAATGGATTGATTTGTTTGATCGACAGTTGATTCAACAGAAAGCAGCGAATATGTGAATTCCAAAGACACGACTATTCCATCCATACGTTTGAAAGGATCCGTCATTTGATTGAATGAATTACACTAATTGTGATGTCAGTAGTAGTCGAGCGATGTTTTTATTATCGATATTTAATACCTTTCACATGAATTCAGAAATTTTAAATCAATTGTAAAGCAATTTGTTTTTAAATACCAATTGTATACTCATTTAGAACTTATATTAAGCATTCATTTAAATTAATTATAAATTATGTATTATTATTATAAAGTTATTATTAAAAATAATAAAATTCAACACACGTTTGAGTCACTGAAATAAAAAACAGCAAAATGTTTGATCACTTTAATGATCACAATCCTTTAAATTTATTGTTAAAATACAATCAATTTTATAGAAAAATGAATAAAAACTAATACAAACGGCTATTTATTTAATGGCTTTGAGTCTCCAGAGGCCGTCATTCAGGAAATGAATGTTTTCGACACCAATTCCACGATTTATTTTGGCTCTGAATTCAATTATATGTTTCAATAATAATTTATTTCAATTTTAAAAATCTAATGAATTACATGTCATTGGAGGACATCTTGAGGACTCCCACCGATAAAGCGCTTTGTTTTCCTTCGGCGATAACAGTGACCACTGAATCGACGGGCAAATCGGGTGTCATAATAGCGCCTTTGGATGTGAGTCCGGGACACATGATGTTAGCGCCGCTCAATACGAAAGTGATGGCTCCTCTGTCCACTTGCATCAGCGGACATATAAACGGATCTAATCGTACAAACTATGTGTTAGTTATGGTCCATAACTTATGGACATTACATGTCTTGTCTCAGTCACGAGTGCTTACATTTATGAACGAGTCTTAATGTCGGCAAATATGGACCATCTCTTTGTCGGAAGAATAGGTGCTCACCGTTGGAACCGATGACAACCTCTATGTGTTCGTGACTGCAAAACAGATCATACATCAGATTAAGTGATCATTTGGATCAATGGACGCAACCATTTCAATGTCTTGATGGCATCCTTTTTGGGCAGAATAGCATCGATGTAATCGGCGATATGCGGGAACTGTTGGACGATCTTCTGTTTGATGCCCTTCTGAACGGAACCCTTGAGTTGAGTGACACTCGAGATGTTTGTGTCGTCAAACCTAATGACCAACACATCCGACAAAAGGCGTGACAATTAAACCAAACAATTAAATCCAAACCATATTTTCACTTACTTTTTGAACATATCGTGAATTCAATGCCGGCTTTGAGTTACGAAAAGTTGATTATTATTTAAATTAATGTTATTATGAAATGACAGCAAAAACTTTTATGACAATTGTTTCGCTAATAATAATGAGTTGTAAAACATATGAATGACTTAATTGTAAACAAAATGACAATTTATTCAATGAATTGATGTTAACGTGAATTTCATGTGAAATGAAAGACTCTTTCAATGCATTCATATATTATGTGTGCATTTTGTGAGGAGAGGGGCTCTTCAAAGTGCCCCTCAATTATCCGTTAATCGCTTTAAATTGATTTTAATTGTCATTTAAATTTGTTATTAATAAATCCGTCGACCGATTAATATAAGTGTTGAACAAATTGCGGATCCGTTGACCGCGATATACAGCCAATCATATAAATCCTGTCCTTTAAAACTCATGTTATTTATAAATTGAAGATAATTTTGGCGTCACTTTTAAAACTCCTTATTATTGAAACTGATTGTAAAATATTATATATGTTTATAAAATATTTTATTAATTGAGACAATGATTGAAACAAAATATATGGTTTAAAATGAATTTTAATTTTGGTTCATAAGTCTATAATTTAAATAAATTCAATGATAAGTTATAATGATTTGATGCGGTCTTTACAAAAGGCACAATAATTACTGGTTTTTGTCACGATTTTTAGAAATTATATAAAAACATAAATTTAGTTGTCTTTAATTTGATTCCTCGTCAGTCATGTCCAGAAACTTGAGAAACACATCCCGAGAGCACTCGCCCTTCGAGTTGAATAAGAATTTGTAATAACTGCCGTCCGCACAGATCACTGCCAACAAAACAAACCGATTAATCGTTTGTTATATTTAAGACAATTACAAGTGACAAACCGATCACAGAGTTTGGATCCGCGCCGAAGGCACAAATACAATGAGCGCCGACCGGCACTTGGAATCGAGAGAAACTCCACTTTGAACTAAAATATTTAGGCAAAAACGATGCCGAGGCTAGACTAGGGGTCACACAAAACGGGTTAATGTCATACATTTACAGCATATGTAAACAATTTAATGATAATACAAACCTCGATTGTTTGTTCTTTTTGCAGTCTTCGACAGCGAATATATGGATCGTCCCGTGATCTGAAGACACACACAGTAGCGATGAATCCAAATTGAAATTTATGCTAATGAATGACTTAATTGTAAACAAAATGACAATTTATTCAATGAATTGATGTTAACGTGAATTTCATGTGAAATGAAAGACTCTTTCAATGCATTCATATATTATGTGTGCATTTTGTGAGGAGAGGGAGTGCTCTTCAAAGTGCTCCTCAATTATTTGTTAATCGCTTTAAATTGATTTTAATTGTCATTTAATAAATAGATCCGTCGATCCATTAATATAAGTATTGAACAATTTGCGGATCCGTTGACCGCGATATACGGCCCATCATATAAATACAGTCCTTAAAAACTCGTGTTATTTATAAATAATAGATAATTTTGGCGTCACTTTTAAAACTCCTTATTATTGAAAGTTTCAATTTGAAACTGATTGTAAATTATTATAAATGTTTATTAAATATTTTATTAATTGAAACAATGATTGAAACAAAATATATGGTTTAAAATGAATTTTAATTTTGGTTCATAAGTCTATAATTTAAATAAATTCAATGATAAGTTATAATGATTTGATGCGGTCTTTACAAAAGGCACAATAATTACTGGTTTTTGTCACGATTTTTAGAAATTATATAAAAACATAAATCTAGTTGTCTTTAATTTGATTCCTCGTCAGTCATGTCCAGAAACTTGAGAAACACATCCCGAGAGCACTCGCCCTTCGAGTTGAATAAGAATTTATAATAACTGCCGTCCGCACAGATCACTGCCAACAAAACAAACCCATTAATCGGTGGTTATATTTAAGACAAGTATAAGTGACAAACCGATCACAGAGTTTGGATCCGCGCCGAAGGCACAAATACAATGGGCGCCGACCGGCACTTGAAATCGAGAGAAACTCCACTTTGAACTAAAATATTTAGGCAAAAACGATGCCGAGGCTAGACTAGGGGTCACACAAAACGGGTTAAATGCCATACATTTACAGCATATTTAAACAATTTAATGATAATACAAACCTCGATTGTTTGTTCTTTTTGCAGTCTTCGACAGCGAATATATGGATCGTCCCGTGATCTGAAGACACACACAGTAGCGATGAATCCAAATTGAAATTTATGCTAAACATCACACAATGACACCCAATGAGAAAAGAGAGCGACAAAAATGGTATTCAAAATGCAAACCAATAAATGTTGGCCGCGTTGGCACCTCTTCGCAGTTCGTTGAGTAGTGAACCGTTGGAAGTGTCAAAAATTCGTATTAGTGTTCCCTTTTCGGAAGCGGTGGCCAATCGAGTGCCCGAAAGGTTTAGTGATAGGCAGCTGAGGGGCGCCTCGTGTGCGATCACATCCACCGCAGACTTATCCGGATTCTACACATCAATGCAATTGGCGTTTAAATTATGATTTCAATTGAAGGTAACAAACAGTAAGAGCAATAGAAACGGACCGCTAAGTCAATCATCTGGACGTGTCCTGTCTTTCGCGATGGAAACGCCAGTAAAGAGTTATTACTATTTGGACACAAAACGCAAAGACCTCTCGGATTATTACTGGTCTCGAAAACGTGTAGCTGTTGTGGGGTTTGAGTAAAAGTGTATACTTTAATCATAGTCTCCAAGACTACAACAATTCTGTGCAACAATTACAACATATCATTAGCATTAGAGACACGGACTGACAACTCAATCAAATACCTGTCGCGACGCAAACGCACGGCCTTTACATCGGATGAGAATTCCAGTTCAATCACGTGTTTCTTCTTTAGGTCGTCCCAAACCATCACTAATTGTATGCAAACAGAGGTTATAATTGCGAGAGGTCTTTGCGTTTTGTGTCCAAATAGTAATAACTCTTTACTGGCGTTTCCATCGCGAAAGACAGGACACGTAGTTTTGTTGGCAGTGATCTGTGCGGACGGCAGTTATTACAAATTCTTATTCAACTCGAAGGGCGAGTGCTCTCGGGATGTGTTTCTCAAGTTTCTGGACATGACTGAGAGAGAGAGAGAGAGACTGAGAATGACATACCTTTTTTAGTTGAATATTGCGGTTGTTTTCCGCCGCCAATGAGTGCCAAATAATTACATCTAAACAACATCTCCACAAAACCAATGCCTCCGTTATTGAAGTCTATGCGAAAGACAACAAATCAATTGCATTGATAAGTATTGGACACAAACTGGAAGACAATTGCAAACCTTGTTTCTCCTTCTCCTTAATGGGATCCGAGTTATAGACACGAAAGCCATTGTGAAGACCGCACGCAAAACATCCCGAGTCCTGATTGAAGCCGTAGTACAAGAGACCACTTTTGTGAGCGCCCGTCCCCTCAATCTTCTCCACATTCATTGCACTCCGAGTTTGTATTGAGTGAACGCTATTTCATGTGCTTATTGTCCGCACGTCTTGTGCACCACTTCTTCGGCCACCAATCGATTGGTTTGCAAATCAAATACACTTTGGTTTGCGATTTAGCAGTGATTTTGAATAGACGTCAAAATATAGTGAAAATAACTGTCAAAATGAGTTGTAATCACACTTTGAAGATGTGTTTGCAGTCTATGTTGTGATTGTATCGCATAAACAACTCATACACAGAGCTGTCTAACACTTATAGAGGTCTTAATCAACTCAACATTCATTCCCATCCTATCCTTCCCTTCCCATCCCTTCCCTCTTTAAATCATATTATTTGTTATTTTATATGTGTTTAAGTGATAGAAATTAATTTTAATTTAATTAATACAATATAAGTTTGCTTTGAAAGTAAAGCTATACATTGAATAACAAGATATCGCAAATCAGTGCTCAAGAAGTGATGTTCATGTGATCAATATATTGGTTCAGTCTATGATGGATACAGTGTGTGAATCCCTCCCCCACTACACTGTATTCACTACAGGCCTCTATAGCAGTGATGCGAAAACTGGGCATAACTTTGCCATACATTTCACTATTCATTCACCACTTCATTGCAAAAGTGTTTTAAACTTTTTTGGTTTGTTTTGATAACAGTTTAGTTGTTAATTGTTTTTGTGTTTCACATTTTAATACCCATTAAATAGCGTATAAATCACTAAACAATATGTTGTTAATGAATACAAAACACGTTTTTAAATGCATTGGTTTAGTGTCTCAAATGAGAGCACTTTCGACGGCAGGTATTGTTTTTGCAAATTTAAAAAAAACTTATTTAATTTTTAATTTAATTGAATCAAACAAATTGTTTGCAACAAATATTTACATTTAATTATTTTTTCAGTCATTGTTTAATTGGATCAATAGTTTGCTATTTTTTTTGCTTATTTCAATTATATTTAATTATTCAAAAAGTTGCTGTTATTTACAAAATGTATTCATAATTTTAAAGTCCATTGCATTTGAATTGAAAGCCAGATTAGCCGTCAATTATTTACTTGATTTCTACTATTTGTTTGATTTTATATCAATTTATATAGTTTTTGTTTAAATGGTTATTAAATTAGATGTTTTATATTAAATATACTTACATAATACTTTCTATGTAATACTTTCCGGTAGTTTTGAAGCAACATATTGACCTTGATCATTTTCACACATTTACCGTATATTTTGAAATTGTGTGAAATTTTATTCAATTTGTGTTAATATTTGATATAAAAATTAAGAAAATGTTAGAAATGACAACTAATTTATGCATTAATTGACTGAAAGCTTACACTCATATCAACGTTGGAGTGAAGGGCCAGAAGAATAACATTGGATTCATTCAATTGAATCGTCCGAAAGCACTGAACGCTCTGTGCGATGGACTCATGCATGAAGTGGCCAATGCTTTGGATCAGTTTGAAAGTGACAAAACCATTTCGGCCATTGTCTTGACCGGCAGTGATAAGGCCTTCGCAGGTCTGCACTCTCTTTGATTGTTTAGTCTCTTAACTGATCTCATATTGAATGTGTTGATCACCGAAACAGCCGGCGCTGACATTAAGGAGATGGTGGACAACACATTCGCGCAGTGTTTCAATGGAAACTTTTTATCTCATTGGGATCGAGTCGCCCGATCTGTTAAGCCTGTGATCGCAGCCGTCAACGGATATGCCGTAAGATTAATATCATTTTGTTGTTAAAACAGTAATTGATATGAAATATTAATGAATTAAATGATGTGACAGTTGGGCGGCGGCTGTGAGTTGGCCCTAATGTGTGATATCGTGTATGCGGGAGAAAATGCTAAGTTTGGTCAGCCGGAGATACTCATCGGTGCCATTCCCGGTATGTCTCGCATATTTAGTTTACTCTTGAATTATTGATATACTGTACTATACTTTAAGTACTTTAAGTACAAAATACTTTAAGTAACTTGATTTTTCTTATGAAATATATAGTAATTGTGATATAAAGTTAATTTATTCATTTTGACCTCAAATATGGTCTGATGTACTCGAAAGTGTACTGCCTTTTCACTATTTAATCTTATGTTTATTCTATACATATAATTGCAATCATAAGCCCTCCCTTTCTATTAATAAATTTAATGTAAACGACAGGCGCTGGCGGTACTCAAAGATTGACCCGAGTTATCGGTAAATCTCGGACAATGGAAATGTGTTTAACAGGAATTCCCATCTCTGCTAAAGAGGCCGAGAGTTGGGGTAAATATTGTTATAACTTTGTGCCTATGATTATGGCTTTAAAAACATTTTCTATGTATTGTTAGGATACCAATCATTTCATAAAGGCAGCCTGTTTCACCACCTGCTTCGGTAGTTTAACCCTCTCTTTTATCCTTTGTTAAGGTTTGAATATTGGCGATAAACATTTCTTAGACATTTGTGTCCAAACATAATATTTTCTCAATTTAATCGTTAATTAAATTATTATAAAAATGTTAACAAATTGAATGTTTATTCCCAATGAATGATAGCATATGAGACCACTTTAGCTCAGGGCCTCAAAGCGGAGAAGCGATACTTTCACTCCACTTTTGCCACCGTATGAATCAATTATACTATTTTTCCGAAAGCATTGTTTTAAATGATTTATTATTTTCTTTAATCAACAGAACGATAGATCTGAAGGAATGAAGGCATTCGTCGAGAAAAGGGCCGCAAATTTTAAAGACGAATAATTAGGACTTAATCTGTACTCAAAATCATGAATTTAGTTGTATTGAGTTGTGTTTGACTTTATACGAAATAAAATTTTTACTTTTACTAAATATACTTGTACTAATGAGTACAAATAAAATATTGATTGTTTATTATAGATCTATGACATCCATCACATCCACACACTAAAACCTGTATGTTTGTTACCATTGCGTCTTTAAGGGTTCTCTGACCAAAGTTCCGGTCAAAGTTCAAGGCTAGAGATGTTAATATAATTACATTAGTTTAGCACTTTGTAGGGATAGTTGGGTACAAAACTTTGGTAAAACTTTTAATAAAATGAATTAAAATTTTTAATAAACAATACATAAAATCTTTATAACATTTAATAATAAGTATTAATAAGTAGTTTTAGAGTAATTTACTTAAAATATTTAAATATAATTAACAAAATTGTAATATAAGTTGAATTTGTATTTAAGTCCTTCTTTTGAGAAAAGGAAGACTGAATTTGGTGTCGATGTCTATGCCTTCCATTGAAGTACAAAAGTCAGTGAATGACACCTTTTTGTCGCCATCGAAGTCCATTTCGGCGATCATTTTGACCGCATTTTGTGAAATCACTTGACTCTCACTGTGCGGCAGAATTTTGCTCAATATTTGGCACAAATCATTTTCATCGATGTATTTATCGCCGTCGATGTCATAGATATTGAACAGAAATTTCATTTTTTTCTTCCTNGGCACAAATCATTTTCATCGATGTATTTATCGCCGTCGATGTCATAGATATTGAACAGAAATTTCATTTTTTTCTTCCTTTTAATATCGATATCAACTTTTTGGTCGACTCCTCCAGAAATGGTCATGAATTTGGCCATAACTTTGACAAACGTTTCGAAATCCATATCTTTTGACTCTTTCTCATAACTCATAAAAACCAAAGCAATTCTTTCGCCCAAAGGATTGGCTTTGAGTTCAGGAATCGATGTCAACGCTTCCAGAGTTAGTTTCATGGGTTCATTATGGTTGGGCTCCGGTTTTGTCAATTGAATCAATTCCAGGAACCGTTGGGAGAATTGTCCGATTTGTCGGTGACTAAAGCCCGTCTGGCGACACAACTCCCGCCAATTGGACTCTTCTTCCGATAAGCTGTCCGTATTGTTGGAATCGGTTTTGTTTCCCAACCAATTCCAACCCATAAAAGACATTACTATATATTACGTATGACTTAATCTATTAAGACTTGAAATATATGTTAAGTGTTTTAAATCCTATACTAAATGAATTCAATTGAGAAACGAAATCAAATAAACGTTAATTCAAATAATTTCAAAACAATTTAAATTTCAATTGAGTTATGAATTTCCAAACAATAAGTATCGCTCTTTTGCCGATAATTTGAAAAATTAGACTTAAATTATTTCTAAGTCAACGGTTGGCATAAAGTGGCGAATATCTGTTTGTAGGAAAAGTCTCTCCAAAGATATCCAAAGAATATATTGAGAAGAATTTGGATCGCATTTTGAATTGGTGTCAGAAATGCCTTTCTATACGAAAAGAATGGTTCAATACTTGGAGGGAAAAGACGGCAAAAAGAAACACAAATCACACAAAGGAGAGAAAGGACTTCGAGTCGCGCCGTCCACTGTCGGCGGTGCGGGCGGTGGCGGAGCCGGTGGTGCGGCCGGTGGTAAAGGAGGCGGTGGAGCGGGCGGTGCAGGCGGTGGTGCGGCCGGAAGTGCTGCCGGAGGCGCCGCCGGTGGCAAAGGTGTCGGTAAAGATGGAGTGCTGGCTCCGGGAGCGGCGCCCACCGACGCCGTGGCGGACGCGAGTTTCGACAACAAAAAGTTGTTGTATATGAAGGGTCTGTTGAAAGCATCGGTGGAGCGGATCAACAAAGAGAAGCCATCGCTGCCCAAAAATCACCGATACTTCGGTCGATATACCGTTCAAATGGATGCACCGATCGGAGAGTCAGCGCTCTGTAAAGTATACAAAGCACAGCACCAGG